AGAGGACGAGAGGAGGATGAGCGAGGGAGGAGAGAGAGGGAGGAAAAAGAGAGGAGAGAGAGAGAGAGGAGAGGGAAGAACAGCAGGAGATGAGAGGACCGGAGAGGACGAGAGACAGTAGGAGAGAGAGAGCGAGGAGAGAGTGAGAGAGAGGGAGAGAGAGGAGAAACAGCAGGAGGGGAGACGAGAGACGAGGAGAAAGAGATGAGAGGAGGAGGTGGGAAGAGGCGGAAGGCAGGACGGACGGGAGAAGAGACCTGTAGAGGAGTGGAGACGAAGGTGTAGCGATAGACGAGAGGATGAGAGAGAGCTGGGGAGACGGGATGAGCGAAGAGGGAGGACGATGGAGAGGGGAGCATCGAGGACAAGCAGGGAGGAGAGAGGGATGGAGAAAGAGAGATGACAGGATTGGGAGGTGACGGAGAGGGGAGGAAAGATACGGAGACGAGGACGAGTGAGGAATGAGGAGAGAGGAGATGAGTAGAGGAGAACGAGAGAGAGGGAAGAAAGAGGGAAAAAGAGGCGAGAAGAAGATGAGAGGAAAAAGGATCCTGGGGAGTAGGGGTTAGGACGGAGTGGACGAGGAAGGGGCGAGGCCGAGAGACGACGAGAAAAAGAGCGGAGAGGAGAGAGAGAGAACAGGCAGGGGGAGAGAGGACGGTAGATCGGAGAGAGCAATAGAGAGATGGGAGAACAGCAGGATCGAGAGACGAGATGAGAGAGATGGGGAGGAAGAGGCGGAGGGAGGCAGGATGAGACGGAGGAGGATAGAGACGGGGGAAGGAGCAGAGAGGGAGGAGAGAGAGAGAGAAGAGGGAGAGAGGAGGGAGATGAGGACGGGAGAGAGAAGGAAGAGAGAGAGGAGAGGGGAGAGAACAGCCCGGAGAGGATGGGAGAGAGAGAGGGAGACGAGAGAGGAGAGAGAGGAGGAGAGCGAGAGAGAGAGAGGGAGGAGAAACAGCAGGATTCTGGGAGAGACAGAGAGGAGAGAGATTGAGAGGATGAGAGTGACTGAATGAGAAGGAGAGGAGAGGAGGAAGGAAACAGCAGGAGGAGAGAGAAGAACGGATGAGCGAGATAACAGCAGGAGAGAGAGAGGACGGAGAGAAGAGAGAGAGAGAGAGAGAACAGCAGGAGAGAGAGATGAGAGAGAGAGGAGAGAACACGCAGGAGAGAGAGGGAGGAGAGAGGAAAGAGTCGGAGGAGAGAGGAGAGAGAGAAAACAGCAGGAGAGAGAGACGGGACGAGAGGAATATCGAAGAGATGAGACAGCAGGAAGAGAGAGACAAGGAGAGAGAGAGAGATCGAGAGAGGAGAGACCGACGAGACGAGAGAGAGGCGCGACGAGACGGAGAGAGACAGCAGTTGATGGGGAGAGAGGGAGGAGAAAGAGAAGGAGGGAGAATGCAGATGTGAGAAATGAGATGAGAGCGGAGGTAGACGAGAGTGAATGATGGGGAGGGAGAGAGCAGAAGAAGGGGATGGGGATCGGAGAGACAGGGAGGAAGAGAAGAGAGAGAAAGACGACGAGAGATAAAGATCGGGAGTGGAGGAGAGGGAGAACGAGAGGAGGGAGAGATGGAGAGTGACGCGAGATGGGGACGAGGAGGAGAAAGAGAGAGAGAGAGAACAGCAGGAGGATGAGAGATGGAGATGAGAGGGAGAGGAGGGAGAGAGAGAGAAGGAGGAAAAAAGGATGGTGGTGGAGAATTGAGAGGGAAAGACGAAGAGAGAGATCCAGAGAGGAGGAGAGGGAAGAACGAGAGCGGAGGAGGAGAGAGAGAACAGCAGGATGTGGGAAGAGAGAGAGCGAAGAAGAGAGAGAGCGAGAGACCCCCGAGCCTGACGAGGAGAGACGAGGAGCCGGGGAGAGATTGAGAGAGGGAAAGGACGAGGAAAAAAGATGCACGAGAGAATAAAACAAAGGAGAACAAAAGGAGATAAAGAAGATCTAGAGAAAAAAAGAGAGGAGATGATCGAGAGAGCCACGAGAGAGAGTGACGACACAGAGAGAGGACAGCCTGGTGGAGGAGAGAAGAGAGAGGGATGGGTAGTGTGCGAGGAAAAGGGGGGGGAAACGAGAGGATCGAGAGGAGAAGAGGATTGAGAGAGGAGGAGAGAGGAAGAGTCGAGGAGAGACCCCCCGATAGTTCGGAATGAGTGAGAGAGAGACGAGAGGAGATGGGGAGGAAAAAAATTGACGGAGAGAGAGTGAGAGAAAGAGAACGCAGGAGGAGAGAGAGAGAGAGAGGAGAGAGGGAAGAGAGATGGAGAGGAGAGGGCAGGGAGGTAAGAGACATCGAGAGGGATGTCACGAGAGAAGGACAGGAGGATGAGAGCGGGGGATGAGAGAGAGTGAGAGGAGAGAGATGAGAAGAGAGAGAGAGAACGAGCCCCGAGGGGGGGGGGAGGGGAAAAAGAGAGAGAGAGATGGGAGAGAGGCGAAAACAGCAGGAGAGAGAGAGAGAGAAAGAGGAGAGGAGAAGAGAGGATGGATGAAGTGAGGGGGGATGAGGGTGTTCGGCGAGAAGGCTGAGGAGAGAGGAGGAGGAGAGAGAGAGGAGAGATGCGGAGAGAGGAGAAGATGAGAGGGAGAAAAGGAGAGAGAATTGAGAAGGGGAAAAGAGACGTAAAGAGGAGAGAGATGACGAGAGAGAGAACAGAAGGAGAGAGGGAGAGGAGAAAGAGGATGAGAGAGAGGAGAGAGAGGAGGGGGATGAGAGAGAGAGAGACGGCGCGGAGGAGAGAGGAGAGAGAGTGAGAGGGAGGGAGTGAGAGGAGAGAGAGAGAAGAAGGAGAGATGGAGAGAAGGAGAGGAGAGGGGCAGAGATGAGAGAGGAAGAGCGAGGGAGGAAGAGAGGAGGAGAGGAGAGAGGAGAGAGGACTAAGAGAGAGGAGAGGGAGAGGCTAGAGACGACGCGGGGAGAGGAGAGAGAAAGAGGAGAGAGGCGACGAGAGTGGAGGAGAGAGGAGAGAGGAGAGAGAGGAGGGAGAGAGGAGGGGAGAGAAGAGAGAGGAGATGGAGAAGAGAAGAGAGAGAGGAGAAAACCGCAGAGGAGAGGAAAGACGATTGAGAGAGAGAACGAGAACAGTCAGGGAAGAGATGATGAGAAAGAGGAGAGAGAGAGAGGAGAGAGGGGAAGAGAGCGGAGAGTGAGGGGCCGGATCGACGACGGTGAGGGAACGGAGAGAGAGAAGATGAGGAGAGAGTGTGAGGAGAAAGAGAGAAGAGGACGAGGAACGAGAGAATACGAGAGAGAGAGAGAGAGAATAATAGAGCGGGGAGGGAGGGGGGAGAGAGTGAGGATGACGAGGAGGAGAGAGAAGAGAGAGAATTAGGGAACGCCGAGGAGGGGGGGACGGGGGAGAGAAGATGAGGAAAATTATGACGGAGAGGGAGAGATGGGGGGAGAGAGGGAGAAATTTTAGAGAGAGAGAGAGAGGGAATAAGAGAGAGAAGGAGAGAGCGAGAGAGAGTAGGAGATCCTTGCAGCGAGGATGGACACGTGGAGAGAGTGGAGGATCCCGGAGACGGAAGAATAAGAGATACGAGACTAGGGAGGGGAACCGACAGAGTGAAGAATTAGGTGAAGGTGAGGAGAGAGAGAGAGAAGATGAGAGAGGAAATGAGAAAGAGAAGAGAAGAGAAGAGAAGAGATGAGATAGGAGACGGAGAGAGACGAGAAGAGAGACAGAAAATGAAGAAGAGAGAGAGAAGGAAGGGGAAAGAGGGGAGGGAGGAGAAAAAGAGAGGGAGGGGAGAGAATTATGGAGAAGGGAGGGAGGGAGAAAGATTGAGGAGAGGAGAGAGAGAAGAGAGGGAGGAGAGGAGAATGGGGAGGAGATAGGAGAGTGACGCGGAGGGAGAGAGAGAGGAGGATGAAGAGAGAGAGGATGGGAGCGACGGAGGAGAGGAGAGAGAGAAAAGACAAGCAAAAAAGCAAAAGAGGGTGAAAAGAAAGAGAGAGAAAGAGAGAGAATAGGAGAGAGAGGAGAGACGAGACCCGACCAGGGGAGCGACGGAGAAGATGAGCCCGAGAGGACGAGAACGGGAATTGGAGGTAGGTGAGGAGAACTGAGTGCGAGGACGGATGGGGGGGTGGATGAGAGAGGAGGGGGAGAGAGAACGAGGGGGAGGACGTGAGAGAATCGGAGAGAGAGAGAGAACGGAGAGAGAAATTTTTAAAAAGGAATAGAAGTAGAGGTAGAGAGAGAGAGAGAGAGAATAGAGAGGAGCGACGGGAGATGACGACGAGAGAATGACGGAGAGAGAGGGAGAGAGAGAGAATAGAAGAGAGAGAATAGAGAGAGAGGAGAGGAGAATAGAGGGGGAGGTGAGGCTGTGAGAGAGGAGAACGAGGAGAGGAGAGAGAGAGGAGACGAGCTGACGGAGGCGGAGACGAAGAGAGGAGAACTGAGGAGATGGTAGAAGCGGAAGGAGAGATCGGGGGAGAGGAGAGTGATGAGAGAGTAGCCCGGGGATGAGAGAGAAGCGGAGAGGAGTACTGAACGAGGGAGAGACAGAGAGAGGACAGAGGAGAACCGGAGTGGGAGGATGAAGAGAGAGGAGAAGAGAGGAGAGAATGGAGAGAGAGAAGAAAGAGAAGAGAGAGAAGAGGAGAAAGAGGGGGGAGAAGAGAAAGACGGGAAGAGAGAAGAGTGGCACGGAGAGCCCGGAAGGAGGAAAGTAGAGAGGAGGGAGGAGATGAGAGCGGACGAGAAAACTGAGAGAGAGAGAGCACGAGAGTCGAGGCGAATGACGACAGAGAGGAGAGAGAGAGGGGAGACGGGGAGGGAGGCGGGGGATGAGAGAGAGAGGAGAGAAGTCGATGAGAGGAGACGATAGAGAGAGGAGGAGAGGGAGACGAGAGGCTGGGAGAGAATGAGAGAGAGAGAGGGGGAGATACGAGGAGGAGGAGAGAGAGAGAGAGAGAGAGAGAGAGAGTTATTCTTAAATGTCGCTCTTTTGCAAAACCAATATCAGCGACCCTAATACTTACACAATAGAACATTCAATGGTAGTTTCTTGCCATATCTTAGAAAGCGCTAAATGTACTACACCATCATTTTGTAACGGCGATAATGTGCAAGTGGAGTAAACTACAGTCCCACCTGGACGAACAGCTTGTAATGCAGACCTGTAATGAATTTAATACAGAAAAAGTAACTATAAGCAACCTGCCTTACGGTGCTATTGTAAGTGTGTTTAGATTTTACTCAAGTTAATAATTTATCATGAAAGCTTTTTAAAAAGGTATAGAGATGCTTTATTTTTTTGAAAATCACAAATAATTTCCAACACATACACAGTCACAAACATACATATAGAACATAAGCAAATATAAAACACGCACACACAGAGCATAAATATTTATTAACAACAAATAAGTAGATACACAAACACACACCTTGAAAATACCAACACAAACACACAATGCTTTAAACAGAATCTCTAACTCACACAAGCAACTGGCTCTGAAGTTCTGGCAGTTTTAATCTCTCCTTAGTTCTGCTTGTCTCAAATATGCTGTTATCATCCTCCATAAGAGAATGTCTGTCTGTCAAACAAGGCACATCTACTAAAACCTTGTCGTATTCCTCAGCTTCTCTAAATAGGCACCCATTTTTCTGTAAGTAGTAATTTTTATAGCATTGCATTTTTAAATTTTGATCTCATACACAACATTTATTATATAATGTTAATATCTGCAATATTTCTTTGTTGTATTTAAGATAACTACATGTAATCACTACAATGTATTACAAACCATCAGTCCATTGGAACATACCTGTGTTACAACTGTCATATTCTCGATAGATGACATGCCTCTAGGAACATACTGCTTCAAGATACTTCTGATTCTTTTAACACGACCTTCTGACACATCATTACTGACCAACAACCCTGAAATTATCAGTGGCGAGTTAGTCTTTGTAGTTGAGGAGTTTTAGTTCCGCTCTCTTTGGCTGTGCTGACGTAGCAGTTAAGGTATAAATATGAAACACATACAACAGATTCCTATATTACGTCCCTGATGGTGGAGGGGCAAAGTCAATAAAAAGATGTTCTGAGAAAATAAACTTCAAACAGAAGTTTAAATATTGCTACTGTAAAAAAATCTTGGAATAACATACAAGGCCTTATTGTATTTAGAATAGTTAATTTTTCTGTTTCTGTAATATTCTGTATCCATAACGTTCAATTATGTTGTCCCATTTTAGAGCTTGTTAATTAGTCAAACATCTGGTATGGGCAAGCTGCTGGTTCAATCACTGAATGTGTAGTTTTTCCCCACCAATTCTAGGAAAGGTTAGACATTTCACATACACACACACAAGTAATTCTGTACCTTTTCCTTTTTCTAGCCCTCTTACTTGTACCACAACAATCCCTGAGAGAGAGAGAGAGAGTTAAACTGCCAGAACTTCAGAGCCAGGTGCTCTTTCTCTCTCTCTCTCTCTCTCTGTCTCTCTCTCTCTCTCTCTCTCTCTCTTGCTGTCCTCTCTCTCTCTCTCTCTCTCTCTGTCCTCTCTCTCTCTCTCTCTCTCTCTCTCTCTCTCTCTCATCTGCTCTCTCTCTCTCTCTCTCTCTCTCTCTCTCTCTCTCTCTCTCTCTCTCTCGTCCTCTCTCTCTCTCTCTCTCTCTCGCTGTCCTCTCTCTCTCTCTCTCTCTCTCTCTCTCTCTCTCTCTCTCTCTCTCTCTCTCTCTCTCTCTCTCTCTTGCAGTCTCTATCTCTCTTTCTCTCTTTGTCCTTCTCCTCCTCTCTCTCTCTCTCTCTCCTCTCTCTCTCTCTCCTCTCTCTCTCTCTCTCTCTCTCTCTCTCTTCTCTCTCTCTTTCTCTCGCTGTCCTCTCTCTCTCTCTCTCTCTCTCTCTCTCTCTCTCTCTCTCTCTCTCTCTCTCTTCTCTCCTCTCTCTCTCCTCTCTCTCTCTCTCTCGCTGTCCTCTCTCTCTCTCTCTCTCTCTCGCTGTCCCCTCTCTCTCTCTCTCTCTCGCTGTCCTCTCTCTCTCTCTCTCTCACTGTCCTCTCTCTCTCTCTCTCTCTCTCTCTCACTGTCCTCTCTCTTTCTCTTTCTCTCTTCTCTCTCTCTCGCTGTCCTCTCTCTCTCACTGTCCTCTCTCTCTCTCTCTCTCTCTCTCTCTCGAGAGAGAGAGAGAGAGAGAAGGAGGGAGAAAGAAAGAAAAGAGGAGAGAGAGAGGGAGGAGAAAGAAAGATAGAGATGAGGAAGAGACGAGGAGGAGAAAAGAAAAAAAAGAAAGAGAGAGAGAGACCAGAGAGATACGGATAGAGAGAGAGAGAGAGAGGAGAGAGGCAGCCGGACGGGGGGATTCGGGATGAGGAAGAAAGGGGAAACACGGGAGTAGTTGGAAGCGGAGAGGAGAGATGAGATGATGAGTGAGAGAGCGAAGGGGAGAGGAGAGAGAGAAGATGTGACCGAGGAGAGACAGAGAGGGATAGAGAGGCGACAAGAATAGCTTGAGAGGAGAGACGAGAGGAGGAGAAGGAGGAGGAAAGAAAAGAGAGAGAGAGAGGGAGTTTGAGAAAGAAAGATACCGAGACGGAGAGAGAGAGAGAGGGGAGGAGAAAAGAAAGGGAAAGGGGAAAGAAAGAAAGAGGGAAAAGACGAGAGTAGGAGGAGGAAAAAAAGGAGAGAAAAAAGAAAGAGAGATGAGATGAGAGAGAGAGAGGGAGTTTTTCTCAAAGAAAAAGAGAGAGAGAGGAGAGAGAGAGGGTTGAGAAAGAAAGACTGTGAGAGAGAGGAGAGAGAGGGAGGAGGAGGGAAAGAGAAAGAGAGAGGGAGGAGAAAGAAAAAAGGAAAGAGGAGAGGGAGGGAGGAAAAGAAAAAAGAAAGAGAGAGGGAGGAGAAAGAAAGAGAGATGATGGAGGAGAGAGACAGAGAGAGAGGTGAGCGAGGAGGAGAATCTTGGGGGCCTCGGGAGCAGAGAGAAGACGCGAGCAGAGGACATTGAAAGAGAGGGAGAGGAGAGAGGATGAGAGAGAGAGACGGCATCGCGGGGAGAGAGAAGGAGAGGAGAGACGGAGAGAAGGAGGAGAAAGAAAAGAAGAGAGAGGAGAGGGAGGGAGGGAGGGAAAAAGAAAAGAGAGGAAGATGGAGGAGAGACAGCGAGGGCTAGATAGGATAGATAGAGAGAGAGAGAGATGAGAGAGAGAGAAGAGAAGGAGGAGAAAAGAAAAAAGAGAGGAGAGAGAGAAGGGAGGAGGAGAGAGAATAGAAAGAGAGAGAGAGAGAGAAGTAAGGAGAGAGAGGAAGGATGAGGAGAGAGAGGGAGGGAAGAAAGAAAGAAAAAGGAAAGAAAGAGAGAGAGAGGGAGGAGAAAGGGAAGAAGAGAAAGAAGAAAGGAAAGAGAGGAGAGAGCGAGAGAGAGAGAGGGAGGAGAAAGTGAAAAGAAAGAGGCGAGGAGAGAGAGAGAGGGGTTTGAGAAAGGAGTTGAGGAGGACGAGAAAACAGACCGAGGGGATGAGAGGAGAGAGAGAGAGAGGAGAGAGAACAGAGAGAGAGGAGAGGCGGAGGGATGAGCGGAGACCTCACTGTGGAGACACGGACCGAGGGCTGCGCTAGGCGATGATCGAAGACGCGAGAAGAGGAGAAAGCGGGCGAGTGATGACGGTGACGCGAAGTAGGAGAGAGAGAGAGAGGGAGGAGAAAAGACAAGAGAGAGGGAGGGGGAGAACAAAAGAAAAAAAGGAAAAAAAAGAAAGAGAGATAAACGAAGGGGAAGAGAAGAAAAAAGAAAAAAGAAAGAGAGACCAAAGAAAAAGGGGGGGGGGGGGGAAATAAAGAGGAGGAGGGAGGAGAGAAAGAAAGAGAAAGGGAGAGAGAGGAGAGAGAGTGAAAAGAACGGATCGGGAAGGGCAGAGGGAGAGAGACGGGAGATGAGGAGTTGATGGAGAGAGTAACGGTGATGAAGATGGAAGCCTTTGGAAGAGGAGGAAGAGGAGAGAGAGAGAGGGAGGTAGGGAGGGAGGAGAAAGAAAAGAGGGGAGAGGGAGAGGAAGGAGAAAGAAAGAGAGAGATGAGAAAGGAGGAGACAGAAAGAGAAAGAAAGATGAGGAGAGAGAGAGAGAGAGGGAAGGAGGGAAAGAAAGAAAGAGAGCTCAGAGAGGGAGGAGGAAAAAGCAAGAAGGGGAGAAGAGGAGGAAGACGAGAGGGAGCAGAAGAAACCAGAAACCAAAGAGAGAGAGAGAGGAAGGGAGAAAGAAAAAGGAAGAGAGAGAGAGAGGAAGGAGCAAAGAAAAAGAGAGAGACGAGAAACGAGAGGGAGGAGAAAAAGGAAAAAAAGGACAAGAGAAGAGAGAAAGAGATGAGAGACGGGAAAGAGACACGAGGGTGAGAGAGGAGGGAGGGCGAGTCGAGATGAGAAGAGGGGGAAGATGAGAGGAGGAGAGACCCCTGAAGAGAAGAGAGAGAGAGAAGAGAGAGAGAGGAGAAAGAAGAGGATGAGAGAGGGAGGGAGAAAGAAAATTGAGAGAGAGAGAGGGCGGAGGAAAGAAGAGAGAGGGAGGGAAAGATAGAGGAATTTCAGAGAGCAGGGAGGAGAAAGAAAGAGAAGAGGAGGAGGGAGACCGAGTGGGAGAGAGAGAGAGAGAGGGAGTGAGGAAAAGGAACGAGAGAGGAGAGATGAGGGAGGAGGAAAAAGAAAAAGACGGAAGATGAGAGAGAGGAGGGAGAGAGAAAATGAAAGAGAAAAGAGAGAGAGAGGGAGGAGGGAGAAAGAAAGAAAAGAAAAGAAAGAGAGAGAGGGAGAAGAGAGGTGAGCAGGAAAACAAAAGAGAGGAGAGATAGAGAGGAAGGAGAAAGAAAGAGGAGGGAAAGGGGGGGGGGGGGTGAGAAGGGAGGAGAAAGAAAAAGAAAGAGGAAAAAGAGAGAGGGAGAGGAAAGGAAAAAGCAAAAGAGGAGTAGAAAAGGAAAGACGAGAGAGACGAATGGGAGAGGGCGGAGAAGAAAGAGGAAAAGGCAAAAGATGGAGAGAGAGGGAGGAGGAAAGAAAGAGCGAGAGAGGACGAGGGAGAAGGGGAAGAAAAGAAAAAGAGGAAAGCGAGAGGAGAAACCTGAGATGAGAGAGAGGGAGGAGAAAGAAAAGATGAGAGAGAGAGGTGAGGAGAAAGGGGAAAGAAAAGAGGAGAGAGAGAGAGAGAGGAGAAAGAAAAAGGACAAGAAGGAAGAGAGAGCAGAGAGATAGATAGAGAGAGAGACGAGACGAGAGGATGAGTGGCCGGGGGAAGGTTAGAAGGAGAGGGAGAAGAGGCTGAGAAGTAGGCGTAGGAGGGATGCGACGAGGATCCGGAAGAGAGAGACAAGATGTTAGAGGAGAGTGAGCGAGGAGAGAGCCGAGAGCAGAGAGAGAGGAGAGAGAAGAGGAGGAGGAAAGAAAAGAGGAGCGGAGAGGGAAGATGAGAAGAGGAGAGGGAGGGAGGGGAAAAGAAAGAAAGGGGGGGAAAAGAAAGGAGAGGAGAGGGAGGAGAGAGAAAGAAAGAAAGAGAAGGACGAGAGGGGTTTTGGAGGAAGAAAACGGAGGGACGAAGGAGAGAGCGGAGGGAGGAGAAAGAAAGAGAGAGGGAGGAGGAAAGAAAAAAGAAAGAGAGAGAGGGAGGAGGGAATAGAGAGAGGAGAGAGACGAGATGAGAGAGTTGACTGAGCCGAGAGGAGGGACGGACGATAAGAGTGGAAAGAGGGAGAGAGGGGAGTAGCTGGGGGGGGGGAGAGTGAGAGGTGGGAAGGAAGAAGAGAGAGAGAGGGGTGGGAGTGACGAGAGCGGGACGACTGAGGAGAGAGAGGAGAGGGAGGAAGAAGGAAAAGACAAGAGGATGGGGAGAGAGGGAGGGGAGACAGAAAGAGGAGAGAGAGAGAAAAGGGAGGAGAAAGAAGAGGGAAGAGGAGAGAGAGGAGGGGAGGAGGGACTAGAAAGGAAAAAGAGAGATAGAGAGGGAGGAGAAGAGGAAAGGGAAAAGAAAAGAAATAGAGGATTGAGGAGAGCCGCAAAAACAAAGAGAAGAGAGAGAGAGGAGAAAGAACCAAGAAACAAAGAAGAGAGAGAGATGAGAGAGGAGAGAGAGGAAAAGGGAAGAAAGAAAGAGAGAGAGAGAGGAGGAGAAAAAAAAAGAAGAAAGAGCGAGAAGAGAGAGAGAGGAAGAGAGAGAGATGAAGAGAGGTCGGCAGCCGGGGGGGGGTAAGGGAGAGAGGAGATGAGTGAAGAGGGAGAGGAGAGGATGACTGAAGATGAGAGAGAGTGAGAGAGAGGGAGACAGAGAGGAGAGAGAGGGGAGGAGAAAGAAAAGAGAGAGAGATGAGGGAGGAGAGAAAGAAAGACGAGCGAGAGAGGGAGGAGAAAGAAAGAAGAGAGACGAGGAGGGAGGAGAAAAGAAAGAAAAAGAAAAGAGAGAGAGAGAGAACGAGAGGGAGGAGAGGAAAGAAAGAAAAAGAAAGAGAGGGAGAGAGGGGAAACGAGGAGAGGGCGGAGAAAGAAAGAGGAGAGATGAGAGAGAGGGGAGGAGAAAGAAAGAGAAAGAGAGAGAAGAGAGGGAGGAGGGAAAGAAAGAGAGGCTGGAGGGAGAAAGGAAGGAAAGAAAAGAAAGAAAGAAAAGAGGCCGAGTGAGAGGGAGCAGAAACAAAGAGGAGAGAGAGAGAGGAGGAAAGAAAAAAAGAAAGAAAGAGAGAGGGAGAGAGAGAGGGAGGAGGGCAGACAAGAGAAAAGAAAAAGAGGAGGAGAGAGAGAAGAGGGGGAGAAAGAAAGAGGGGAGAGTAGAGAGAGGAGAGGGTAGGGAGAAAGAAAAGAGAGAGAGAGGGATTTCTCAAGAAAAGAAAGGAGAGAGAGAGAGGGAGAAGGGGATTAAGAAAAGAGAGAGAGAGATGGAGAGAAATAGTGAAGAGGAGTGAGGACGGGGGAAGAGAGGGAGACGCGGATTAGAGGATGGGGTGCCCCAGGGGAGAGAGAGAGAAGAGACGAGAGAGAGAGAGAGGGAGGAGAAAAAGAAAAGAGGAGGAAGAGGGAGGAGTGGGAAAGAAAGACTGGAGCGCGAGAGAGAGGGAGAAGAAAGAAAAGAGAGAGAGAGAGACGAACTGGAGAGAGAGGAGAGAGGACCCTAAGAAGGAGAAGAGGTGAGGGGGGGGGGGCGGGGGGGGGGGGGGGGGGGACATAGAGAGAGAGAGAGTGGGAAGAGGAGTAGAGAGAGAGAGTAGAGAGAAAAGAACGAGAGAGAGAGATGAGGGGATGGAGGAAGAGATGAGAGTTTGAGAAAGGGAGGACGAGCTGAAGAGAGACAGAGAGAGGAATGAGAGAGAGAGGGAGGAAGGGGAAAGGAAAAGATGAGGAGAGAGGGAGGAGGAGAAAGGAAAGAAGGAAAGGAAAAGAGAGAGAAGGAGAGGGAGGAGAAGAAAGACGAGAGGAGAGGGAGGAGAAAGAAAGACGGGAGAGAGAGAGGGAGGGGAGGGGGGAAAAGAAAACGAGAGGAGAGAGAAGAGGGAGAAGGAGAAGAAAGAAGAAAAGATAAAGAAAAGAAAGAAAGACGAGAGAGAGAGGAGAGAGAGAGAGACGATGGAGAGGGAGGGAGAGAGGAGGGAGGTACCAGCGAGAAGGGAGGTGAGGTCCAACGGAGAGAGGAAGAGAGAGAGAGAGAGAGATGGTCTTAGAAGAGATGTAAGAGGAGCCGAGAGATGGATTCTTATCATCGAGAGTGGGGATGAGACGAGAGGAGAGGGATGGGAGGGGGGCTGGGGAGAGACGAGACGGAGAGAGAGAAAGAGGGAGGAGAAAGAAAGAGAGAGAGAGGAGGAGAAAGTAAGAATGAGGAGAGGATGAGGAGAGGGAGGAGAAAGGAGAAAGAAAGAGAGAGAGAGGGAGGAGAGAAGAAAGGAGAGGAAGAGAGGAGGAGGAGAAAGAAAAGAAAAGGAGAGGAGAGAGGGGGAGAAAGAAAAAGAGGACGAGAGAGAGGAGGAGAAAAGAAAGAGAGGAGAGAGGAGGAAGACGAGGGGCAAAGAAAGACAGAGAGAGGAGAGATGGTAGAGGAGAAAGAAAGAGAGGAGAGGAGAGAGAGAAGAAGAGATGGGGGAAGATGAAGGACAAAGAGACGGATTGAGGGGATGTGAGACAGAGAGAGGAAAAATGGGGGGGGGGGGGCGGGGGGGGTGGGGGGAAGGAGAACGGATGAGGGGGCAACAGACGAGAGAATGAGACGAGGAGAGGAGCGGAAGATCTATCGGGGAGAGAGAGAGATGTAGAGAGAGAGAGAAGAGGAGGAGATGAGGAGAGAGAGGAGAAAGATAAAGAAACGAGAGAAGAGAGAGAGAGAGAGGGGGGGAAAGAAAAGGAAAGAAAGAAAGAAAGAAAGAGAAGAGGAGAGAGAGAGAGGGAGGAAGAAAAGAAAGAGGAAAGAGAGAGAGGGAGGAGGAGAAAAGAAAGAAAGAAAGGAAAGAAAAAAAGGAAAAAAGAAAGACAAAGGGAAAGAAGAGAGGAGAGAGGGAGGAGAAACAGAGAAAAAAGAAAAGAGAAAGAGAAAGAGAGAGAGAGGGAAGGAGAAAGAGAAAGAAGAAGAGAGGGAGGAGAAAGAAAGAGAGAGAGAGAGGGAGAAAAGCATCCCTCAAAGAATTAGAGAAGAGAGAAGAGAGAGGCGAGGAAGAAAAGAAAGGAGGAGAGAGAGAGAGAAGAAGGAGGAGAAAGAAAGAGATGGGAGAGAGGGAGGAGGAAAGGGAAAGAAAAGAGATTAGAGAGAGAGAGAGGGAGGAGGGAAAGAAAGAGATTAGAGGAGGGAGAGAGGGAGGAGACAGAAAGAAAGGATGAGGAGAGAGAGGGAGAGAAAGAGGAGAGGAAGAGGAAAGAAGACGAGAGGGACGAGAGAGGAGAAAAGGAAAGACTGTTGAGGAGGGAGAGAGAGGAGAAAGAAAGAAAAGAGTGAGAGAGAGAGAGGATGGAAAAGAAAAGAGTGAGGAGAGAGAGAGGAGGGAAAGGAATCAAGAGTCGAAGAGAGAGAGAGAGGAGAAAAGACAAAAGAAGGACGGTCGAGAGAGATGGGAGGAGAAAGAAAGAAAGAGAGAGAGAGAGAGAGGGAGAGAGGAGGAAGAGAGAGGAGGAAGGGAGGGAGGGGAGGAGAGATGAGAGAGGGAGGGAGGAGAAAGAGAGAGAGGGAGGGAGGAGGAACAGGAGAAGAGAGGGAGGCGAGGATAGGGACGAGAGAGAAGAGAGGCGTGAGGAGAGAGAGGAGAGGAGAGAGGGAGGACGAGGGGGAGAGAACGATGAGAGAGGAGAGAGATGGAGACTACGAGAGGTAGGGCGAGAGAGAGGATGAGAGAAGAGAGAGAGAGAGAGTGTCCGGAGAAGGGGACTGGGAAGAAGAGAGAGAGAGAGGGAGGGAGAGAGAGATAGAGCAGAGGGTGGGGAGGGATGTGAGAGGAGGGGAGGAGGGAGAGAGAGGGGAGGGGGGGGGAGGGAGAGAGGAAAGGCGTGTGCGGGAGTGCTGTGTGAAGACGGGAGAGAGAGAGACGAGGGGGGGGATGAGAAGGAGAGAGAGAGAGGAGAGGATGGGAGAGGAGGGGGCGGGGGATGGAAAGGGAGAGAGCCACGAGGGAGGAGGATGGAACGTTATCAGCCGCGGTCCTGGGGTTGGGGGATAGATGAGGATACGGAGACGAGAGAGAGAGAGGGGGGGGAGGGATGGCGAGAGGATGAGAGAGGAGAGAGACAGAAGAGGAGAGGAGAAAGGGAGAGGTTCGTACGGAGAGGAGAGAGAGAGAGGAGAGTAGAAGAAGGAGTTGAGGAGGAGGAGAGAGAGAGAGGAGGGAGGGAGGGAGGGAGGGAGGAGAGAGAGAGGGGGGGGGCAGAGGGAGGGAGGGAGAGAGAGAGGGGGAGGGAGGGAGAGAGAGAGAGGGGGGGGAGGGAGGGAGAGAGAGAGAGGGGGGGGAGGGAGGGAGAGAGAGAGAGGGGGGAGGGAGGGAGGGAGAGAGAGAGAGAGAGCGGGAGGGAGGGAGAGAGAGAGGGGGGGAGGGAG